CACACACACACACACACACACGTACTCACACTTCCTCACGATCACACACTCACAAATACAAACTCATACACAAACACAAATACACACACAAAGACACATACACTCAGACACAAACATAATAAAAACACTCACACATAATACACACGCACTGACACACACACATACCCACACTCACACACACACACTGACACCCACGGACACACTCACAGACAGACACACACACACACATACCCCGACACATAGTCACACCCACACGCGTATCCACTGTTTACTTTACAAAAGTTCCATTTCCATTGTAAAATATTATGTCTTCAACTTGAAAGGTGAGTCAAGATCCGAGAACCATGAAGCGTTCCCAAAGTAAAAAAAAAAGATATAAAAATAAGCACTAAAATAATATAAATAATGAAATAAACCCGTACGTCGGGTTTGACTGTCGTATCCATACGACGTAGGAAACTCTGTGCCGCCACTTTCGAAAGAGGAAATTTACTCGTTAATCCGATCCGTACGCTTTGCATAGCAGTCTGTCAAAATGATTTTTTGAGAAATACTGAAAGTTTCAAAGAGATCTTTGTACTGGACGTATTCTAAAATGTGAAGAATACAACCCCGGAAGTACAAAATGACCCCAGGGCGTACGGATAGGGTTAAACGGGTGCTTTGGTGTATTTTGCTCGTTCTCTCCTGTCAAACACCCACTGCACTTATTATTATTATTATTACCTAACTGTTTTGCAAGTGCCGGCAAACTCGAGAAAACAACAAGCTAACAACAACGAAAAATAAAGGAAAATCACACTTAAAAAACCCCCTGACAAATATGATTCTGCAAGGGATCGACCCATGGATCCCCGAATAAGAAAAGGAGCACTTTACACGTTGACCAATTGAATGCCTCGTACTTTTCTCACCCTTTTATTACGATTTTGAATATACTATAGTAATTGTTTCTTTTTCTTTCTTCATTCATGACTTTTAATCTTCACAATACGCTTTCAACTTTCCTTCTGTCTCCATGACTATGTCTTCTTATTAATTTTTAGCCTTTTGGCGTCTTGGACCCC